CAGCAAGAGAAAAGGAGAGAGTTACTTAGATAGAAGTTCCCATAAGACTGTCAGCTGATTCCTCAAAAGAAACTTTTCAGGCAAGAAGAGACTGGCAAGAAGTATTTAAAGTGATGAAAAGCAAGGACCTATCACCTAGATTACTCTATCTAGCAAAGCTATCATTTAGAATTTAAGGGCTGAGAAAGTCTTCCCAGAGAAGGTAAAGCTAAAGGGGTTCATCATCACCAAGCCATTATTACATGAAATGTTAAAGGGCCTTGTTTAAAAAAAAGACTGAAACTATGAACATTAAAATTACAACAAAATCACAACTATCAAAAACTAAATCTAAAAAAACAAACCAAGCAAACAACCAGAACAGGAACAGAATCATAGATATGGAGATCATTTGAAAGGTTATCAGCCGAGAGGGAGAAGGGGGAAAGTGAGGGAAAAGGTACAGGGATTAAGAAACATAAATTGGTATGTGCAAAAAAGACAGAGCAATGTTAGGAATAGTATAGGAAATGTGAAACCAAAGAACTTACATGCACAACTGATGGACATGCACTAAGAGACAAGCTAGCTGAACAAAATGGCTGAGCAATTTATGGCCAGACACAAAAGGTCACCTCCCTAGAGATAACATCTTGGCCTCAGCTGTATTTCAGCTCCAGGCCCAGAAACTTGGCAAAACCAGTTGGGTGAATTCAGCAGCAGCTGAAATGACTAAGGAGTCCCTGGCCTGGCACTGACCAATCAGTGTAGACCATGACCGTAAAAGGACACATCTGGAAAACTGATGAATTTTCTGCTTAAACTCTCCCCTGAGATCTCTCCCCTAAAATTCCCACCTACGAGAGAGCTAAAACCCTCAAGACAAACTACCCACTGCAAGCTCTCCCTCTGGGGAACAGCCTGCACCATTCCCTTCTCTGCTTCTTCCCCAACAGACACACATCTCCTGGATTGTAAGAGTCCCCATGAGATCTGCAACCAGGGGAGCAATGGGCAGGCTAATCTCCTGAACCTGTCTCCAAGGTCCTCTTTTCTCTGACTTCCCAGTGAGCTAAGGCAGCCCAGCCTAAGAGCTCCTGTTTTTCTTCTATGCTAAGCCTTCCTTGTTTTACTGTCCCCAGCTTTATGAACGTACCTTCAGGGTCTCCTGGACTCGTGCTGTGAAATCTTTCCTACATGAAGTCAAGAACCCACACACTACCAGCTGGCCCTAGGCAGACATGATCAGGACCAGGCCCTTTGTCCAATAACACAGGGAATAGTTTATATATATTAAAATTAAAAAAGTCCTCATGTGAGGGTTTTAAAAAATTGATTTAAGAGAGAGAGGAGGGAGGGAGGGTGGGAGAAAGAGAGAGAGACAGAGAGAGACAGAGAGAGAAACATAGATGTGAGAGAGAACCATCCATTGGTTACTTCTAGCATGAGCTCCAATCAGGATGGAACCACTACCCAGGCATGTCTATCTTGTGATAACTTCTTATTCTTTTAAAGATAACATCAACAGAAGCCAGAATCCTGTTTACCACTGTTACCTCTGGAAACAGAATGGGTGTGACAATGATGAGATTTTAAACAGGGGAATGGAATGGAAGGAAGTGCTTAAAACGGTCACATAAAGACAAAGCTTACAACACAAAATTGGCACATTCCGAGAAGCAAACCATAAAGCCATCAATTTCCTTTGGCAACACAAAAAGCTGCCAGAGCCAATAAGCACATTTTCCCGGTGCTGTGGCAGTGCTGCTTTTAAGTCTCCAAATCAGAACCCTTTAAGATAAGCCTAGAATGTCCCTCTAGCATATGCTGTTCATGTTCCACTAGTGTATTGTTAGACTTACCAAAGATGTGACAATCATGTGTCTGTCCTTGAAATCTGTCCTGATATCCAACATCTGGATTGTGGCAATTACTGAGCTACTTGCTCAGATACAAGTTAATCAGAGGTTGGACTGCAAAGGAGTAAACTTTGTACCTACTAATAGAGAATTCTAAATAAATTAGTGTTGAATGGATGAACAAACAAATGGATAAGTAAAAAGGTAAGTATCATAACTTCTTGATACTCAGAGGTTTCTAGATTACTCATAAAAAATAGTACATATGAAAAACTTGAATCCATTTACATGTTAGAAAGCATCTGTTGTTTGGAACCAGTCAAAGCATAAATAGGTTGTGGCTATTATCTTATAGTGATAATTGCTTTCCTACTTATCCCTTTGTTGCCAATAGCCCCTCACTGGAGCAAAGAATCTAGCTCAGTGCTATATACTTGATAAATGCTCAGTAAACACTAAAACAAACTGTACCATAAATGAAAATGTCTATGAAAAAGTTATAGGCAGGTCTGTCAAAACAGAGGCACATATAATGTATATTTCCTGTTTAGAGACAGAACAATTAGTGATATAAAGGTTAGTCTATTCTGGGCCACTGAAGAATGACTCAGTATGAATATGATTTGGGCATGGTTTTATTTAATAAAAGCTTTATATAGTATGGGTATCTTAAATTGCACTACTACCACAGAATCACTGAAGTGATGGATGGCACTGAATCAAAGTTAAGTTTAAGTAAATTCAGGCCTAGGAAGCCATACTCCAAACCTATTCATGAATTTGATTTTGACTAGAAGCTTAAGATGTCTTACTTGAAATTATTTAAAGAGTGAAGGCAAAATCACAATTACAAGGAACAGTGTTTCTTGTCACATACATTCAACAGATACCAAATCACTATGGTCTATGCACAGTCTGTCTAAAGAAGTCTTTACACTCAGAGAAGCTTTTCTTACTATGACCTGAATAATAATTCTCATGAAGGCACTCTAAAAACAAAGAGAAATCCTCCTCTCTTGCAGTTAAATTTCAATAAAAATTTCAATTACATGGAGCCTTGGATTTTTCCTGTAACCCTCATATTCAATTTTGTGCTAAGTATTAAAGGAATTAAAGTCAATTTCTTTACCAATAAATTATGAAGAACACAAATTAAGACAAAAGAATGAACTGGGAATGTGCTGCAAATATTGTGCATTTATATTATTATACAGCATAATCTGTAAATCTAACTAATGAGACTCAAGATTTAAATGGCTGAAAAATATGTTTAGTAAATTATTGTCAACCAATGCCTCTATTCTAGGATAAATGTAATCTTGAATGGCAACATACCTATTATTACAAATTCCTAACTAAGTACGGTAGTTCATTATTTCGAAATGTCACTGTCATTTTATAGAGTAACAGATAAACATCTTTCTACCATATACTCGATTACCTTTCCCTCACAGCAAATGAAACACTATAAAGAAAAATTACAAACAACATTTTTGCAGCAATAAAAGAAACCTAATGAGCATTAAACCTGTCAACTAGTTATGACATTCTAAATTTTCACATTTGTTAATGTGGATTTGTCAGGTTTTATACCACTGTAATCAAGTATTTTTTTTAAGTAATATCATTTCATGTAAATTCTTCCCAGCATTCATTTAACCATTTGACAAACACTGAATGCCTACTCCTAGGTATACTGTCAGGGGATACAAATGTGAATATGATACAACCCTTGCTCTTTTCAACAAACACAGTCTTATGTAAGACAAGTAAGTAAAGTAAAATACAATAGTTTGGGTTATATTAAAATTGCCTACATGTTTCCCATTTGCAATAAGGGGTATTCTATTGAAAACATTCATTATCATTACTCAGAAATCAAACTCTCCCCTTTTTGTTCTATAGAAATCTTTTTGTAATTTAATTAAAAACAAAATTGAAAAAAAATTTATAAATATCTGTTAACTTAGCATCTCAAATTAGTAAATGTTAATGTTTCAAAGCTTATCTTAAGGCTATTTTCCAAATCTAGAAATTTCTTGACTGATAAAGCACTAACGATTACTTGTGATTATTTTATGTCCCACCAGCTGAACAACCTTCGGTAAATTAACTTTTTTTTTTAAAAGACTTTAATTATTTTTAGAGAGAGGGGAGGGAGAAAGAGAGAGAAACATCTACCTGTTGCCTCCCACAAGCCCCCAACAGGGGACCTGGCCCATAACCCAGGCATGTGCCCTGACTGGGAAGTGAACCAGTGACCTTCCATTTTGCAGGACGATACTCAACCCACCAGTCAGGGCAGGTAAATTAACTTTCTTGATCCTCAGTTTTCTCATCTGAAAAGTGGAGACCATAATACCAATCTGTGATAGATTATCTTCCATTTGTGCCTCAGTATCCATGCTCTACCTAGGTTTTTGCCCAGGGAGGTCAATAGGAGGTACTAGCAGAAGGTCAGAGTGTGGACGCCAAGTGAAGCTATTCCCTGGTTTCCTTCCTGCCGAGTCATCAAAGCCTGGCTATACCCCTCTATCAGAAGCAGTCCTCTCCATACACCACCCTCCCCTAGGACTTTAAGCATAGGGATAGTTATTCAGTTAAGTGTTGACTACCATTGTCACTGTCAGTATTGCTGTTATTATTTTCTTTGAGGTTCCACACTCATGTCCTCTATACCATCTGAATATACTCAAGAGGCTGAGAAATTCAGAATTTTGGAGAGCTTTTACTAATTTTCACAGTGCTTCAAAAACATGTTCAAATGTAAAATGTGCTTATTGCTAATTAATCTCAATATTTAAAGAGAGTAAAGATAAAGAGAATCTTAAAAGTGAATGAAAAACCCACATAGTAGGTAAGATTTTCTGGAGTGTAGTTTCTTCCATAACCATGCTTTGGAATTCATTTCCTGCAAATTGACCTGCTGCCTCCACATCAAATCTAGCAAAGAGTAAATGTCTATGAAATTAAACAAATTGTTGGGTTGTGGGGTCATGAAAAGAATGGACTGCAAGATAAACTCAATGGCATAAAAGTCCTGTTTAATCTGGAAATGCATCTTCATCATCCTTACTTATCAATCATGACACAAGCAAGCATTACCATTTGACAAATTCTCATCAAAATCGTACCAAAGAGCTACTTAACCTTTCACCTTACCTCATCCTTTATATCTTCCTGTTGCTGTGCTGTGAAGATCTCCATTGCAGCCATGAGTCTCATCATTAACTCATCCACTGTTGTGTTACCTAGCAACACATGGAGACCGCCAAACTTCACATTATTAGTTATTATAAAATGGGAAGTCATTCTAGAATTAATCATAAGAAATCACTACAGTCTAAAAAAATTTACAAACTAGGATGCTATTATCTACTTAAGATTCTTTCATGTTTTCACTGAAAAGTTCAATATGAAAAAGTAAAGCAGTATTTGGACAGTTGAAATTTCAGAACATTTAGATTTCAGGGAACAGATTCTTAAGAAGTATTTTTTTAGCAGCATAAATAGTAATGTCCAAGTCATAAGGGTCAAAAGTTCTTTCATATTATAAAAACATATCTACTTAATAATACTAGTAACAACTACTGTTTGTTTATATGCCAGTAATTAGGCTAAGAACATGATATATATCACCTCATTTAATCTGTACAATAATTTTTTGTTGTAATTTTGATTTTAAAGAGAAGAAAAATCAGGTTTATAGAGCATAAGTAACCTACCAACCAAGGTCACGCTGGTTAAGTGGTGGGGCCAGGATTGGAAACCATGAGTCTGACTCAAAGCTGTCCTCTCTACTACATCAATACACAGTTTACTTAGAATTATTTTCTAATTCTAAAGATTCTTCAGTGAAACAAATAGTATCTTAAGTCCTGAAAAAAATAAATTTCCGTTTTTTGCCCGAGTGATATTTCTCCCTTCAGCTGCTTTCAAATTTCTATGCTATAATTTTTAATGAAGAAGGTATTTAAAATGTTTAATATTCCTTAATGCTCTTTTATTCCCTGCTCAAGTCCATAAAAAAACACATGGCACAAATGTGCCATTTCTGAACGCATTAAGTCCTATTACTTGCTTTGGATGCATCTACAATAGAGAAATTCTTGAAGATACATAGAGATATAGCAATTCTATTCTTTTGAACTTACAGCCAAAAGAATCTGTCTTTCTCCAGGGTGTGAGAAAGGGTCTTCTTCTCCCATTAATGAAATGGCCACCAGTGAGACAACAAATAGCAAGTATTCTTGCTGGTGTTCTACCAGTGTAGAGCATGATTAACATGATTTTTTATTTGGGTAACATGATTTTACCCAATTTTTCTTATGATCATTGACAGCAAAGGGTTAGGGAACACCTCTAGTACTTAGCAAAGGAAAATGATTTGGTCACATTGGCTCCTTTCTCAATAAATGACCTAGAGAACAAATATTATGTTGGTGTAGTATCATGGTACTAAGAATGCAAAACTGGTTTTGTAGTCAGAGTTATAACCCTAGTTCCACCACTACGATGTAGTACCTAGAAACTGTCTAGCACATGACAGTTTCTAGGGTTTAACAAATGACAAGGGTTTAACAAATATTCACCTAATAAACAAATGAGTAAATGAGTGACTCACTGTAGCTAATGATTAATTTCTTTATCACACAATGAAGATATCACTGCCTCTGTAGGCCTCTGAGAAGGATTAGATATTATGTATAGTACACACCCAATCACTGGTAGTTATTGTTACCAGACATGATAAAGGGCAAAAAGTTTAGGATCATCACTGATGCAGAGTTTATTCCTGGGCAAATCTTTTGTTTTCCATTTCTTTCTTTCTCTCTCTCTTTTTAATGCTGATTCCCGGATCAGGGGTAGGCTCAGGAACCATTGCTTTTTATCTGTCTGTCTGTCTATCTATCTATATCTATCAATCATTTTTCTTATGTGAGGACACATTTATTGATTTTAAAGAGAGAGGAAGAAAGGGACTGAAATGTTGATGATGTGAGAGAGACATTAATTGGTTGCCTCTTGCATGCGCCCTGACTTGGGACAAATCTGGAACCCAGGCATGTGCCCTTCCCGGGAATGGAACCATTACCTTTTGCTTTACTGGATGATGCTCCAACCAGCTGAGCCACACTGGCCAGGGCTGGGTTTCCATTTCTTATTTGTAAACTGTAGTGCCCAAGCCTCAGAGTATAGGGCATGAATATTTTGACTACATACTGACTTTTAATTTTCAGGCTTAACCCACTGCTTATAATCTATGCTTCAGGCCTAACTGTAAGGACTCACTGCCAAACTGGACTTATAGATACTTTGTACCTAAACCCTTAATAATCCAAATTCAGGGCAAATTTATTCTTTAGAGCCTACTGGAGTCATTTATGAACTTTTTGATTTTAAAACCCCTTTATACTCTTAAAAACTATTGAAATCCCTAAAGAACTGTATGTAGGTTATAGTTATCAAGATTTACTATGTTAGAAATTAAAACTGAAATATTTAAAACACGGTTAAGAATTATTTTAAAAGTGATGATAGTAAAGCATTACTTGTTAATATACTTATAAATATCACATTTAATGAAAAATGACTCTATGTACCAAAAGAAAAAGTTTAGTGAGAAGAATGCCATTGTTTTAACATATTTTGTACAACTTTTTAATGTCTGGCTTAACAGAACACAACTAGATTCTTATATTTACTTCCATATTAAACTAATTAAAACATATTGTCTTAGTTGAAATTTATGAAACAAATCTGATCTTACATAGATAAGTAAACAAAAAAGTGAGGAGCATCCAAGGGCTATGCATATATGTTGTTTGGCTAATCTCTTCTAGTCCCCCAAGCCCCTCTCCCCTTTGAGATCCATCAATGAGGTGAAGGCCAGGGTGGGGCGTGGTAGGGTTAGGTGGCAGGGGGGAAATGGTGACATCTGTCACAGTGTCAACAATTTAAAAAGTGAGGAGTATTTTAACAGATAATTGTAGACATTCCTTTTTAATATACCCAAACTGACAAGTGGAGATTTCAAGGTGAGCTATGTGAAGAATTTGAAACTGTATCAAAGAAATTTCTGTACTTTGCTTATTAAAATCTATTGGTCTATCTTGCCCTTTGAATAGATTTTTTACTCATGCATGACTTTATGATATTATGCATTGATCATCTGGAAAACACTGGTTCACTGAACTATGCATTTCTTCTGAATGCCAACACCTAATTATACATTAAAAAAATCACATTTAACATCACCACTGATGTCATCAAAAATGTAAGCTGTCACTCTAATGGTGAAAGATATAACCTTTTGCTTACAAGCTCAAATTTTATCACTGGCAACACATACTGTCAATTCTTTTTCTTGAAGTGGCAGACTTACTTTGTTCATTCTGGAGAAAACGTCTGCTAAATATCCAAGCTATGTAAGTATAGTGTGTCAGTCAGTCATATTCAAGCAAAAATAGTGTTCTGCAAAAATAAATAACTAGTTTGGCTCAAGTAACCACACGAGCGTTTTTCTTTGAGACTACCATTGAACTTTGACACAGAGAAGTGCTTTATCTACACCTACCATTGTGTCATACAAAATATATAAAGGGTTAAAATGTAATAATAGTAATAATTTTTAACTGCACCTATATGGAAGTGAAGAATATGAGTGCTAGTACAGTTATGTGTCATGGCTTTGATTCATACTAAGGTGCCAGCACTTTCAAACAACACTGATTTTGTGCCACCAGTACAAATGTCAACACAGTAAAAAAGGCAAAAGAAAGTCTTATTACTATTATGAAAATAATATTGATTTTGCAGATTTCCTGGAAATGTCTAGGGGAGCTCCGGGATCCATGGGCCACACTTTGAGAACCACTGGCTTTTGTAATATTATCTTTGACAGGGAAAGGGTGTTACCTTCATGATCCATACATGCAATTTATCTATCTATCTATCTATCTATCTATCTATCTATTTAGTTCATTCTTGTTTAACATTATGAACTTGAATGCTCTATTTATAGAGGAAAGATAAAATATTGAAGGTTTTATTTAGTGTAAGGCACTTGAAGTATCTTTTTCCCCATGACATAGAGAAGAGACACTATTTTCCATTTAAGTTTTGCCATGAATAAGGTAACATTTTATATGCATCTCTGGAGTTAATAGGTAAAAGGGAAAAATCATTCACTTATTTTTCTTTTTTTGGGTAAAGAATGGAAAGTTTAATTTTTTGGTAAAGTTTAAGTTCACAGGTATCCTGTAACTTCATGCCTGAGTTGCATCCTAGACATGGATTCACACAAATAACAGGAAACAACCACCACTGAAACAATTCTATTCACACTATCCATTCACTGGTTTTTCTCAGTAACTAAAGGAAAACATTTCTTTCAACTAATCTACGTTACAGCAAGAAATCTTTATGTATATATACATATATGAAATGTCATATTTGACAACTGGTTATGACTTAATTGCTAGTTTAGAGAATTTAGCAATTCTGAACATTTAACATGATTATCCTATGTCCCAACGGGCTGTGTAATTCTATTAAGGCGTTTCTATTGGATTTTCATGCAGCATTATTTCATTCTTCACAGTACCTATACTTTTTGAAGCTGTTCTTCTTCAGGAAGTTCTATATTTTAAAATGCTGAAATATTCACCAATACAAAGAACTACTGTCAGCTTTGATGGTAAATGTTATAAGGTTATCATATATACAAGAAGACACTGTTCTCCCCTGGTGACATTTACTGTACCTTGTATCACATTTAACACTTCGTTAGATGATCGCTTTCCCATAATAATCAGAAAAAGTGGAAACTGGTCTGTTTTTTGAGTCCGAACGGTCTGTGCAACAACACTGCCAAAGTGTCTATTGCACATCGTCAGAAATCTAAAATGAGACAAAATCCAAAGTAAGTTTCATTTCAGAGTTTAATAAATTTACTAGTACCCCAACAAAAAACTCACTGTTTTATTAGTTATATTAAAATTAGGCAGCTTGTCTGATATCAATAGGTGAAGCCTTGCTATACTGAATTTTCCACTACAGAACAACTGATACAGAAACGATTATCATACAGTGAAGCAGGCAGCACACCCTGAATGCTGTCTAGGGCTGAGAGCGCAAGATTCTTACTGTTGAACATGGTAAGCTGTACTACCCTAACATATGTGTGAAGAATCAACAAAATGAATTTTAAGAGAAAATAATTTCCTAAGTAGGACAAATATTGCATGGTACAAAGTTAAATTGACTATCATTATCCTAATCTAAACAGGATTTGGCAACATTTCCACAAGTTTTTAGAATCAAGACTTGTACTTTAGAATTGTGTTTTCTCCAATAGCAGAAGGTCTTCTAGTTTCATACTTAGTATGGGATAAAAATAATAATTCTAAGCTTTTCACCAAAAAAAGCTCAGAGATATTAGCATACTGAAGTCTAGCATTAGTATTCTTAACACGATCTGGAATAAATGAAAAAACTGATAAAGCTTTTCTCTTCTATTAGAGGACTGTTTGAAATTAGCATTTCTTTCAAGAGAAAAGGGTAGCTTATGATATGTTTTCAGATCTGATGGTAAAAAGTAAATGTCATAATAATAATGAATTATGAAAGACCAAATGCAAATATAGAATGCTTTAATAAGATCCAATTTAATAAAGTCTGTAAAAATAATGGACTTTTAATAACACAGGTCACAAAAGGCAAAACAGTGGAAATTCTGGGGACTAGCCACTGGTACTAGCTTATTAATTCTTAATTATGTTCATGAAAGGCAACTTAAATCGTGTGTTTTCTTATGCCTTATGATAATATTTTAGGTAACAACTCCTCTGAAATGTATGTTCTAGCTGATGAGCAAAGTCCTGTCGTCATATGAGTTAGAAGGTAAATCTATTTGAAAAGACAAATGGCATTAAAATGTCATGTGCTCAGATTCATTTGATATCAAATTCAAAACAGAATCAAACCTCTTAATTTTTAAAGCCAATATATTTGTCTACAGAAATTCATCTCCCAAATTTAGGCTGAATCCCCATAAAACCTATGACATGACTATATAAAGTAGACCGTGTTAAAGACCACCAGAACTGTCAGCAAGAATGCCAAGACAAGTTAGCGCCACTGTAAATAAGTCCATGGGAGGCAGGCTCATATACGTATTTACAGCAGAAATAACCAGACCTCATGCCAATCTGAAATGATGAAGCCTTGAGAAACCCATTGTTGGCCATGAAATATCAATGCCCCTATGAAATTCAGATCTTCACATTCCACAACTATTATGAGATAAAAGGTGCTCAAGCAGCCTAATCCTCTGTACCAAAGTTCACACCCAAGTTTCTCAATGGAGATATGTAGACTAGAAAGTTAAGATCTAATTTTTCTCTCCACTTTTTACTATAATATTTCAAGTCAATCTTGCTCCTGATCTGATCATTGGCATCCTCTGAAATGAAATATTATCAAAACACACACACAGCTGGAATGTCATTTCCTTTCACACTAATGGGCATCACATGGTAGATGCCCATCACAGAACTAGCCTCACAAGTGATACTAGCTAAATGGGGTACTCCTCAAACGGGAGAGAAAGGAAAGGGAAAATGAAAGGAAAGGGAAAAGGAAAAGGGAAGAGAAGGAAAGGGAAGGAAAGGAAAGGGAAGGGAAGGAAGGGAGGGAGGGAGACTTGCTTGCTTAATGGTTTTATGAATTCAATTTTAAGACAATATTGCCTGAGAATTGTGTACTTCCCAAATTTTATTTTTGTGGAAATGAGCTAGAAGGAAAAATAATTAAGAAAATGTGGTTATTTTATTGGGTTTAAAATAATATATAACACAAATTTCAAAACTACACAAAACATATTCAAGAGAGGTGCAGACTTCAAAGACACATTAGCTGTTCAATTAACCATAAAAAACAACAAAGTGATCAGTTAACAGCAGAGATTGGTAAATCATTTTAATTTTTTTAGAGGCAGTTGAGAAATATACAGGGATCATGCAGCCTGTTGATACTTTCTAGTAGCTTTGACTACCAATTTGTTCTGATCAAAGAGAGACTTCGTTAAAATTTTAATTAATGTGATTAATCTAAGATCTGAATTGTGTTTACTCTGAGATTTTCAAATTGTAATCATCGAGAGCCTGTAGGGGCAATGGACAGCCACAAATTACAAAATTCCTACTTGTCAATTCCTTGCGCTATGATTTACAAGAACTTAATGCAGATATCAAATTTTTCTAATAGCTGGGAGGCTCTGCTTCTTCCTCTAAAGGTCATTCACAGCACAAAGTTAGCATTCAAAGTTAGCATTCATGGCACATTACCACCAGCAAAAATCCAGTTCAAATCAGAACAAAAACAGATTTAGAAAAAAAGTTGTTTTAAGAGTAAAAAATATGTGGTTCTTTTTTTTTTGTGGTATTTTCTTCCTTTAGAATAGGTATGGCAGTGCACCTAGTGGCAGCACCAAAGTTGTCAACCGAACTAACTGCATATGATATTCATAGGGCGAGGTGTCATGAAGGGAGAATGGTTTCTACAGCAACTGGATACCTGCAATCTCAAACCCAAAGGAGAAAGCAACTGTTCCGTGGCAAGGAGAAATGGCTTTTTTAATTATAATATTTTAATAAATCAAACAACCTACTCATCATAGACCTATTTGGGGAATAACAAGTTGATTAATCAACTGCCCAAACCCAAAGCTAAAGTGACAAATTTGAAAAGATAAAGAATAAATGCCCTCACTAAGGGGTTAAAATGAAGGAGAGAGGAAGGAAGGTAGGGGAAGAAAAAGGAAGGGTCAAGAAAATGAATTAAAGAATACCACAAATCAGGTATAATAAAGCAACTCATGTCTCTGTGGAGTGGGAGGATTAGGGAGTGGGAAGCCTCAAACTTTGACCTTGGTAAAGAAACAAAAATAAAATTAGTAGCACATATTCATCAGTTCTTGCTATTAAAGATCTAAGATAAAATCTTATCTTTAAATCTAAAGTTTAGGGAGAAAAATAAATAGAACATCTGATGGCTAGCAGAGATTGATCATTAGTAAAATTTTCAATCTCTGAAGTTTTTTAACTTGCTAATGAAAATCAGGATTACTAACAAATCAGATATGGATAAAAGTAATCTCATTTTAATTTAAAACAGGATATAATTTACTTTCTTTCCATCAAAGTCATAATCACATAAGTTGTGGCTTTTACTAAGTTGTGCCCTAACATAAAATATTTACTAAAAGAAACAGTAATTTGAGAGGAGGGTGATGACAATTCACAAACGTTTACTATTTACCTACTCTGTACTAGAAAATGTAAAAAAAAAATGCACATCTGACAAAAAATGAACCCATAACACTGTGCATGACTTCCATGTAAAGGGGGAATACTACTTATCTTTAAAACACTTACATTCTTTTTTTATTGTTGTTGAAGTACAGTTGTCTCCATTCCCTCCCCCAACTCCACCCACCCCCACCTCCCACCCTTGATCCGACCTTGCTATGGCTTTGTCCATATGTTCATTATACATGTTCCTTGATGACCTTTCCTATTTTCCACACCATTATCACCTCCTCCAGCCCCTCTGGTTACTGTCAGTTTGTTCTTTATTTCAATGTCTCTGTTTATATTTTGCTTGCTTGTTTGTTTTGTTGATTAGGTTCCACTTATAGGTGAGATCATATAGTATTTGTCTTTCACTGCCTGACTTACTTCACTTAGCATAATGCTCTCCAGTTCCATTCATGCTGTCACAAAGGGTAGGAGCTCCTTCTTTGTTTCTGCTGCATAGCATTTCATTGTGTAAATGTACCATAGTTTTTTGATCCATTCATTTACTGATGGGCACTCAGGCTGTTTCCAACACTTGGTTATTATAATAAATTGTGCTGCTATGAACATTGGGGTACACAGGATCTTTTGAATTGCTGTTTCAGGGTTCTTAGGGTATAATCCCAGCAGTGGGATTGCTGGGTCAAAAGACAGTTCCATTTTTAGTTTTTTGAGGAAATTCCATACTGTTTTCCACAGTGGCTATTCCAGTCTGCATTCCCACTAACAATGTACTAGGGTTCCCTTTTCTCCATGACTTCATCAGCACTTGTTTGTTGATTTGTTTATGATGCCCATTTTGACTGGTGTGAAGTGGTATCTCATTGTGGTTTTAATTTGCATCTCTCTGATGGTTAGTGATGCTGAGCATTATTTCATGTCTCTGGGCCCTCTGTATGTCCTCCTTGGAGAAGAAAACACTTATATTCTTATAAGATATATGTAGAAAGCACTCCAAAGTGTGCCTAGAATATGATAGTCCCTTGATTTTGGTAGCTATTTTTATTACTATTAGTTACATAATGACATTTAACATTTTTGTCATAACTTCCAGGATTAAAATAATAGCTTATACTGATAGGCCAACATTGATTTTTTTCGTGTAATATGATATAGCATCAAAGAATTGCTGACTAAATAAAAAGCCATTGGTTTTACTTTCAGAGAATGAAAGAGCAGGTATTGATATTCAGAAAGTAAAACAAAAAATTATACATGCTGCAGCTGTACAATACTACAAAGCTTCACATATTTAAAACTGGATACAAAACTACAATTGCTATTTTTTAATACATCTATGTTTAGTAATGCTAGTTACTTTAAAACCAAGACGTAACATGAAAATTTCTGTCTGCTTACTCTTGAGCTATTAAATACATTAAATCTCTTTCTGATAATGTGTGAACCATTTCTTGAAAACAAGTTTACTGAGCAGAAGAAATTAATGTTGAACAGTACTACAGGACTTCTCAGCATTACCCAGGAGTTTAAGGCAAGTCTTTTGTATATACTTCCTTAGCTGAAGCTGCTAACCTTATACTA